CTGATGAATCACTAACAATGCTCCTTGTAGAAAGTGGCAGTCTGCAAACTCAAGCAGACTGAACTTACTTCACTACTAACATCTGCTAAAATTGCAGCACAGTAGGATGTGGCCATAACACAGTTTAGAATCAGAGTACAACCAAAACATGATAAATCAGGATTGCAATCACTGACTGCAGCTTCTATACCAATGACCTCTGACTGCTTGGTTCAGATTCTGGTTTTCACAAATGAACATTTGTGAATGTCACCAGCTAGAGAAAACAAACCAAAATCTGCAGTTTTCTAAGAATCCTAACTGAAGTCCATGAAATTTGCAGTGACACTGAGATACACTAGACACCTGACATTTAGTAATTGGTACCTGAAATCAACAATATCACACTCAGTGTAAGCATTAAATTCTATTGATCTGAAATATATACACATATTAAGTGTAAAATTAATTTTTAGCCTAAATTACCTCCCCCTTAAGGAGCATTTCTGGGCTCCTCCTATCAGAGATGCTTTTCGGGCATCCAACAGACCACACTCTGCAGAGACAATATCACTTCATGCTTTGGTTTTATCTCCAGAGGCTGGAGAACATCACGTTGAAAAGTCAGGGTACAGAAAAGAGCAAACACAATCGAGATTCCCTCTGAAAACAAAAGCCTTTACCTAAGACCTGATATCTTACTCCAACTGAAAGTAAAGATGGTGCAGCAGTGCTTCTCTGTACAGTTTATCTTCCCTTCTGTTTTGTCTGCAGCAATACAGTAAATTTAAAATCAACAGCAATGGGTGCATACCAGCACTCAAACTGCATAGAAATATACTCCCAGTTGTCAGCATTCCTTTCTGTCACAGTGCTGCTGCGGGAACCTTTTGAGATGATCGTTCAAGCCACCAATGAGAGACTTCAGGCTCTCTTTGTTTGCTGTGCTCAGTTCTTCAGGTATCTGATTGAATAGTGTCACAGCAGGCAATAAAGCTTTTCAATTTCTTTCTATTGACTATCCAGGAGGAAACAGAAACTCATCTGCCTGTAAAGTATCTTGTATCCAATACGATTAAAATGACTCTGAATGTACTACAGGCCTTCACTGTGAGAGTATAAACTAGCAGCTTGCCACTCTATGAAGAAAATTAAGACTTTGGCATTTTATTGGGCATCTACATTAATGTGATTGGCAAAGGAAAGTAATAATGAATCATAATGGATGCCATGGCAAAACAATGCTGATGTGCTGGATCAAACATGGCTGAAACTCACCAACTCACTAATTTTTTGTGAGAAATGGTGTAAAGTTCTCCCCATATTGCAAAGTTTAGACATAAGAGATTCTGTTTCTAATAACTTTTGAACGACAAGAACTGTTGTCTTTCAAAGACCTTACACTCATTAAAAAGCAATTTAGAAGGTTATTGAAATAAATTATTTATGTAGTGGGATGCATCATTGAAAAATGTTGAAGAGGCATCCAAATAGTGACTCAGTATCTGCAAATCAGAAATAACAGCTCACTTTTACTTTTTCTTATGCAAGTTTAACAAGAATTGCATTAATGTCAACTGGTATTATTTAAAGGAGTTTTTTTAGAAGTCCCTCTGTTTTATAAAAGTACCTGTCACCACAGTAAAACCTAAGCTTTCAAATATCATCCCTAAGAAATTTCATACGAAACAGAAGAAGTAATTTTTGTTTTGGTCAAAAAAATACTATGACATTTCTGTTTTATTCCTGAGGCTATATAATAAGTACAATACCATTTCAGTGACCCCATTGCATTCTGTTATGGACCTGTGACTGATAATGCCTAATTTTATAAACACAGATGTTAACAAATAGCAGTGGAATAACAGAAAAAGAATAAAGCAGTAAACCAAAACAAGATGCCTTGCATAGCAGAAATTACTTCATCCACAGCTGACTGCCTCTGAGCAAAAGGAAACTCTAGTATAAGTCTGCACCATTTAGAAGCTTCATGATTTGCTGGCAATTTGTAGAAACCAAAGCAAACTTTTGGCAGCACGCCTACATACCATAGTAGTTAAAGAAACTATCATCCCACCCATTTTGACTACAAGCCTTGAAAGTTTAGTCTAATGTTTATTCCTACCCTCCTGTTCTCCTTAGCTAATAGAAGATTTCATGTAAAACTTCCAAAATATTATTTTGGAAAGTGGCACTCTGGTGCTCACGCTAAAGTAATCTATAGTTAATTTTTTCTTGCTCCTTTTTGCTCACCAATAAGCCTCAGCAATAGAAAGTCTTCACTCTAATTAAAAGTGAAAAGCTAACACACAGATCCAATACTCTGATGTTTCACAGCTGCATGCAGAGCTGCCCAGACACCTGTTTATTTTTATAGCAATTCCTTTTGCTCTTTATCATTCCATCCCTTAAGGCTGGATTATAAAATGAGGCAGAATAAACTACATCATCTTGAAAATGACAGTGCATTTCTACATCCCACCTTCACTGAAAAACACAAATCATTATTATGGTAATTTGTCTGTCCAGCTGCTACTGAAGGAAGCAGGAATGAAGTCTTTGTAATGCATGGCTTTCAGAATGTTCCCTGCCTGTGTTTAGCTCAACTTTCCTGACACAACTTGAGTTTCTAGTGCCAAATGGCCATGTATGCTGGACAATCTGAATTCCTGCCCCAATTTCTGAAGGTATTTTAGACACAAAAAATACGGACAGCGCTATTAAGTAGCGCTTTTTGGTACCTGTGTAGTGGTTTAATTCTTGTTTAGTCTACAGGCAACTAGGAAAAAAGGGCAAGAGCTGCAAAAACTGAAGGTGGTTAACTGCTGATTATCACACTTCGTATATCTGCTAACTGGCACCACTGAGCTTCTAAGTAGAGGCTAGGCTGCCAAATAATCTTATACTGAAAGCATGCTTCAAGTATCCTTGGTGTCCAAAAGCTGACTCTGTACTGTCTGACTGACACTGTACGTCCTGGTAACACTGACAAAGCATAGTACAGCAAAGCTTCTGCCCTCCTATCACCCTGCTTCACTGCAGAATCTTGGAGGCTGGGCAGTGGAAGTACTTAACAGGGAGGCAGGGAATGAAAACTAAAATCCCCTGGGCTCTAAGAGATAAAAGAAGCAGTCCAAATTCATATCCTGTATAAAACTTAAACTACTAATAAAATAGAAAGCAGACTCACTTTTCTGGACATGTTTTGTAAGAAAGTGACTTTACTACTCTGACAAAAAAAAAAGATTCAAATTCACAGGTGAAGGTGGCTTTTTGCTGCATCCAGAAGTCCTTGAAAGTGCACTGAAATTTGGAAGTCTCTCAGTGTACCCTTGTTATGCCTCAAATCCAAGAAATCCAAGAGGAACATCTTCCTACAGCTGAGTCAGGATGTGTCCCTAAAGTGTATGTAGGGATAGGTATGTGGTGGACAGCAGAAGAAATGGGTGTGCTGTGATGCAAACCTGCAGCTCAGCTGAAGAGTATTTGCAGAGGTCAAGTAATGAGGCCTTGTTCTTTACCCTGTCCTGTTATGACGTAACAGCCTTCCCTGCCTTTATCATGAGGGTTTTGACCAGGAGAGGATTCTCCTATCAAAGTGATCCAAGGTTGCTTGTTTCTGCAGTTAAATCAATGTTAAATTTTGCACCTGACTCCCAGTTTTCACCTGCTGCATTCTTCTGTGTCACAGAATTGTCACAGTACAGCTGGTCTGGACTGGACAATGTAAATCTGACCATAACACAAACCCAATTCAGCTAGCCTAGTTCATGTCTGAACATGTCCCTGGATAAGCTATACAGGACCCTCGGCCAGCCCCATCCAAGCTGAGAAGTAAGCACGTGAGTGACCAGGACACTGGGCAGGGAGAGAGATCTCAGCCAATGTCTGTCTAGCCCGGGAAATTTGAATTGGGTATTTAAGTGAGTTCTGAATAATAAACAAGGCAATTTTGTCTCATGAGTACCTGGAGCACGAGTCGTGGATTTTGTGTCCCCACCCATGGCCGGCACATTACACTTCTGGATAAAATTTGTTTGTAGGAAAGAAACAACATACCCCCCAAACCATTTTAGCTGTATAAAGGACAAGGTTTCAACCTCTGTAGTTTCTTTTCTGTAGGCAGAAACTATTAAATGTTTTTCAGAATTAAAAAAACCAAAACAACCCAAACCTCAAGAAAACAAAATGCGTAGTCAACATATTGACAACAATATTTCCTACAAAATATATGTAGGATTCTCCTTCCTTCAAATGATGCAATTCCACAGAAGGGTGTTTCTTTCTGCCAAGAACCTAGCTAAGAAAATGTTGCCATCAAATAACTGCCCTCAAATATCCATTGAGCAGAAAGGTGGCCCACTTTCTCAGGTGAGGTGTCCTCTCTGGTTTTCTCCAAGCCTTAACCAGAGCATATTCAACGAGGAAAACTGGAATGAGAAATATCAGAAAGCAGAACTCTTCAGGGGGAATATGTCCTTCATTGAGATACCTCCAACTAGTCATGTGACACAGATAAAACCTGCCAGAATTTCCACTTCTGTGCTTCTATCAAAGTCCAAATGAAAAATCTCCATCACTTTAAAAGGTGTCATTGGAAGAGGAGAAAGAAGCAACAACCTCCATTAACTTGCCTACTTCAATTAAAAAAAAATCTACAAGGTTTAAGAGAGTCAGAAACTAGAACATTTTTAACACATAATGACCCCCTAATAATTCAATGAAATGACATTTAAGAAAAGCAAGTCATCCCATATATTCTGCCTCCCAAAGGGATTGAAAATGATTCATTTCACATGCCCATAACTCTCAGACTAATTTTTATGTATTTTCAGATAGTTTCAAATGCTTTCAAAGAGTCATGCGTGTGCATGGAAAAGAAAAATATGTATTTCACAAAGATTTTAATGTAGATCATTCTGTTTTACGAGGAATCAAGTTTTGTAGAGTTTCACAGATGAACTGGTACCTTCTACCTGCTGGCTCAGATTGAAAATGTCAAGGGTATCATAGTGCCTTACTTGTTCTCGTTGCTGGCATCATAGCGAGGCATAGGGTCAAAATCATTTCCATTTACATCAAAACTGGCCTGAGAATCCTGTATCCAACAAAAGAAAAAAAACCAGTTGCTAATTAATTAGGCATTGACTCATGTGGCCTATACCTCAGTTAGCAGGTTCTTACAAATAAGTAATTAGGCTAACTAATATCCCTGTGGTTTCATGGTGACTGTCTTTTAGGAAAACGTTATGTACAGGAATTATATATTTTATTTTCATTTTGGAACACAGAGAAGGATAAAAAAATGCTCTGAAAAAGTATAGGTCCAGCATTAGGGAGGAAATAGAAAATGACGTTTTATTTAATCAGAAGACTACTTCTCTTCTAAGAACCTTTTGGAAGTTAAGGGAGTTCACTCTCAAAACAGGGATTTTGGTGAATGTTTTAAGATTCAAAAAAACTATCTACATGACTGTAACTGAAATTTCAGCCATTGTTTCAAGAAATAAAAATAATATAATTTTCTTAAGAATATTGTTATAAAATTACATATCGGAAGGCAACACAAACTGCTTCAAATATCTGCAAGATATCTGTCTTTTTGTTCCATATTTATCATGGTTCTTACAACTGAAAATAGTTCACAGTGTGAACAGCTGCTGGTTTGTATGGCTCTCATTAATTGATGCAGTAGCATGTCACCACATGTTGACATGGCAAGCAGCAATTTTTAAACTCTTGTTTGTTCAAAACCAGTTACACATCTACCTCAAATATTCCTGTTTGCAGCCTCATTACCTATAATCTGAGATATAGAAGGCATTTGTGATCAAACAAGCAATGTGTATTGCTTGTGAATTTGGGGAATTACTTGTTGGTGTGGGAAAAGGGAGAGAGAAGTGGTAAGGATATAAATAGCTGCTTTAAATTCAGTGGTAGGACAGTACTGGAATGAGGTGACATGATACAATCTGGTTCATTCACTGTGGAGGTAAAATTATATCTGCTTTATTTAAAAAATTTAAGATATTAAAATGAATGGTGTGTCATGTGCTAGGATCAAAGATACATTGACAAATTGTGCAATTGTCCCCACTTGTGTTTTCACATCCTCCAAGCTGAGTTTCACATGCAGCAAGGGAAGGATGCATACATAAACATGGCTAATTTAAAATAAGTGGCTGTAAACTGTGAACATCATTGTAGTTTTTAATGGGTTGTTAAAGATGTTTTTGTCATGATCTCTTAATGCTCTATCAAGAAGTTAAGCTTGCTGGCAAAAAGCCTGTGTTTAGGGCCCTTTAACAAGATCTATATTTGTAATGGGAATGAAAGTATGTGCATGCCTTGCACTGATCATCTTCACCAGTCTAGCTCAATCCAAATATATTTGCTTCTTTTATTACTCTGTGTAGAAGCACACCTTGCACATTTTAATTCAGACAAATTGTAAGGTCCTCATATGGTTGACATGCCTTCAGCTAATGCCTATTTCCAAAAGATAGGACAAATCACTCCAGCAAAATTTGGTCCTGATGCTCTGAACAGCATCAAACTCTGACACCAACACAGGAAGCAATCTACCAGAGAAGCAGATTCGAAGATTCTCCTTATGTTATCAGCCTCCAAGACAGATTAAATCAGTCATCTAAATGTGGTGAACCACAAGCAAACAGAAACCTCCTGAGGCAATGTGAGACACAGAAGACAGAAAACAATGGATGCAGCTCTATCACAAGTTGTGAGGGGACTCAGTAGAGTTAAAAGAGATTTACTAGAAAGAATATGTTACAACAGAATATTCTACACTTGTTTTTAACTGAGTGAATCATGAAAGGTCATATACTTTTCCTTTCATATTGTTTCTAGCAGTATGATAAATAGCTTTAAAAATTAATGCATGGAAAGATTACTGTAAAATTACTGTCTTCGAGAAAAGCTTCTGTCTCACTGACTAAATGTATTGGCCAAATATGGAATTCAGCTGCATGTGTTAACTGAAAAGCAATGTATTCCATTTCTAAGTTTTAAGAGTGTGAAGATATTAAGTAAAAAAATTGCAGAAGAGACAAAAAATACCCAGTAATTGGTTCTAGTCTTTCAGAAATACAGGGCTCAGCTACAAGAGGCATCCAGATATTAAGTATGTTCAGATGAAACACAGTCTTAGCTAAAACAATATGTATTATCAAAAACTGTTTTCCTTCTTCCCATTGGTGTTAATATTTGAGGAAACACTTGTATGACTCTTCCTCCCTCCTTCCTCTCTTCCTCCATCTTTCTACAAGCAGCAAGTTATTTTTTGAGTAATAACAAAGCAGGAAACCTGGACTCTTGTGGACACTCACATAATTCTGCATCAAGTCTGGGTGGTTTCTTTCAATGCCGTCATCCAGGATGGTGACCACAACATTCTTTCCAGTGTAACCTCTCTTCCAAGCACCTACTATATTCATATCTGACTGGCAATGGTGGGTGTTGTCACTGCAGTGCTGGGGAGAGAAGAGGAGAGGAAGATGTCACATATTGTATATTACTGAGCAATGAGGGATTGATCCTACTTGCATTAACATTACTATTTAAAGTAGCACATAAACATATAGATTTGAATAGAAACTACACAACATCAACACCTTTATTTTGACAGAAAACAATTTAAAAAGAATGCAAATTGCATAAAAACTTCATGTCCTGCTTATTTCTTCTTCTGATTATTCTTCATGCTAAGCAATACAAAAGGGAAGCATTCAGCTATACTGAATTTGAAATTTATTTATTTTTTAAAAAAAACAAGGGATGTGTGGATAAAAGTAGACAAATGCCTGTATTGAAATGGTCATGGAAAAAAAACCACCTTGCTTTTTAGAGCTTACATGCTGTGTACAATTTCTTGACAGAGTATTTGGAAACTAAGCAAGATTCATTTCTATCTACAAAAGAAGGCTTTTGGCAGGTTTTGTGCAGTGTCAGCAGGAGATGAGCCACAGTTAAGAACCTGTAATGAAAACACCACCCTGAAAAACTTGCATCTTAGGGAGTTGGATGAATTGTAGATAGTGTTGACTGACAGCAGCCTGGGGTACAGCTTTCAGAGCAACCAAGTCCAGTATGATGGAGAAAGAAAGTTTAGTGTACATTAAAGCTGAAAGCCTCTTCCTAGACACAAATGCACCCAGTTCACGTGAAGAAATCTGGCTCGCCATGGCAATGAGACATGACCCTCAGGTATTTGTAATGCCCCATTAGCCACTCTCTAATCCACATGCACAGCCCTCCCCTGTGAAATTAGTTCAATGAGCCTCTCTCATCAGTACTGCTTTCCTGCAGCTCCACCAGGCTCAGACACAGCAACGGGCAAAAACAGAAAAAAGAGGGGGTACAGGGAAGGGTAAAAGCAAAGGGTTGGAGGAAGAAAAAAAGAAATTAAAGAAGATATTTGTATCCTAACAACAGTGGATGTAGAGCATGCTCCATCTTAAACCCTACCCCACCACCTCACGTCCCCACTTCAGCCTGATGTCTTGTCACTCCACAAATTGCAAGGAGTAAATAGATTTGGAGGGGAGCACTCCACCTTGGCTTAGTCTCCTCCTTAGTTCAGTCAGCACTATGAAAAACCATTAGCAATCCTATGTGCAAACTGACTTGTATTAAGTAATAATTTTCCTCCTCCTCCTCCTTGCTCTCCAGTTTACCACCCAAATCAGAGGATTTAAGAGTGGTCATTTGTTATTACTAGAACAACGTTCTATTATTATACGTAATATAAAGTCTCTCTCAGGGTCTTTCCATTGTGCCCACAAATATCTGTCTCTCTCTGTCAATCCATCCCCACACAAAGGACTTCAGGGACCAGTTCCAAGGAATGTGTAGCTTTTGTTCTCTGTATTGCTTGGAAATGCTTATGCTGCTGGCTTTATGAAATTAATTACACTGTAAACTTGCTGTCCAAATGTAATGGCTGTACACACAAGGATTTCTAATGTACAAACAAGATGGGTAAACAAATTTATCATTTCCAGGTACATTTGTCTTTTCCAAAATGTTACTAAATTAAGTATCAGAAAATACCTGCAAAAGTTTTTAGCATCATCCTCCACATTTTCTAATGTGAAGACAAAGAGACAGGAAGGTAGAACCACCAGCCTTTAGCCACAGGGTAAAACCAAGAGTGAGCTACAATGGGCAATCAGGATTCCTGACTCTAGCCTCCAATTAGATTTACTGGACCATTACACTGTGCCTTTATCCCCATTTCTGAAATGCCAAATGACCCTCAGCTGCTTTGCTTAATGTCTTGTCCTCTCTTCGTAGGGGATGAGCTTGTTATTTTGCCTTCATGCCAGCCAAACCACACAGGCTGAGCAAGCATATGGGTATTTTAATCCCCATTCCTTTGCAAGCTCTTTGGATCTCTGCCAGAAGGTCGCCAGTACTTCCCTTAATGAGACCATTGCCCTCACTTGCCTTACTTGAATATTTGCTTTTGTGGTGGTGACTGAAGGGGCCTTTGCTAAGTGCATGGAGACAACCATGAAAGATGTATCTTGCCTTACTGTGTGCTCTGATGAATCTATCAAGAGACACATGAGGTCAAATTGATTATGCAAGGGTAAAGAAGTTGTAACTGTGGGCCCACTTATAACTTTAGTACACAGCACGTGTTAACATATGGATACAAAATGTAAAGGCAGCAAAGAAGCATCCAAATGGGAATAGTTCAAAAGCAGATGAAGGGTTCATTTATAACCATTGCAATAAAAAACAACTTCTCATGTCCTATTTAGAAGAGCATCTGTTTTTTTCCACCTCTACTCCCCACACTTTTTCCTTCTATTCAATTATTTATTTATGCATTTTTTTAATCCCTGCCTTGTTTCTAGCCTTATTTTTCTGTTCTAGTACCGTCTTTTACCAGTGAACTCCCAGTTTTGTTTAATTCAATATCTGATCTAAGATTCCTGTATTTTAATCACAAATTAGACCTTCCCTCATATTTGTGTCTGATTTTCTCCAGATAAATCAGACTGGGCATTTTCCTCTTGATGCAGTCTGATTTGTCTTTAATTGAGAACACTTTAAATCTTGGAGGGCAATTACTCTTTAAGTACTATATTTTATGGTATATGGTATAAGATACGCCACTCCACATACAACAGAATCTAATATTAATTGGCTTCACTTGGACTCTTTTCTGTCCCTTGGACTGGTTTTGGATGAGACAGAGTTAACTTTAACTCTCATCACAGTGGCTACTATGGGGCTGTTTAGGATTTGTGATGAACAGAGTTTGGATAAAACAGGGATGTTTTCTTTATTGCTTAGAAGCGCTTACCAGAGCCAAAGCCTTTTTTTCTCTTCACATCACTCCCTCAGTGAGGAGACTGGGGGTGGACAGGAAGTTGGGAGGGGACACAGCTGGGACACAGGTGACCAGATCATAGGATGTCAAGCTCAGTAGTTAAAGCTGGGGAGGGGAAGGAAGGGGAAAATGTTCCAAGTGATGGCATTTGTCCTCCCAAGTAACTTTTACCCAATGGAACCCTGCTTCCTGGAGATGGTTGAACACCTGGGAAATGGTGAATGAATTCCCTCTTTTGTTTTGCTAGTGTCTGCAAGTTTAGCTTTTCCTTTAAAATTGTTTTTATCTCAAGGTATAGATTTTCTTGCTTTTATCCTTCTAATTCTCTCCCTGATCCCACTGCTGGGGAAGCAAGCAAGCAGCTATGTGGTGCTTAGCTGCTGAATTGGGTTAAAATTCCTCTTTCCTTCAAAAAACATTTCCTGCAAAGAAATTTCCTGGGTTCCATTCTATAATTTTTTCTTTAATCACCTGCTCCTTCTCTACCAGCAATCAAAATTACATTGTCAGGTTGTTAGCAGAGGGCTGGTTTTAATTAATTTGGAAACACTTTTTCAATTTACAGTGTTACCCAGATAAAAAACTATTCAACATCTGTCCTGATAATAAATGTTACATCATCCAGAGCGACTGAATTTTGTATCAATGAACAAATACTGCATTTTGTGGTTTATCTATTTCCATATTCTTTCCTGTTAGAAATTTTGGAATTAGAATTTTATTTGTTAGAATACAAACAACTTTTGCCATGATCATGTACAAATACAGTAGTTGGAAGGCTTTTATTAGATCTGTCAATCTTTGAACTTTTGTTTTCTGAATTTTAAAGGTAACAGTATAAAATAGACTATTCTACTGCATTTTCTGCCTCTCAAAACAGATAAAGTAATTCAGAAATTTCCTGCATTGGTACTACAACCAGACAAATGCATTAAATCAGCACTACCTCAACATACATTGATTTCATCCATAGCCTGGACAACACCATCAAAAGGAATAAACCAATGTTTGTCCAGTTATTTAGAGTAATTCTACTGAGATTTTAAAAGGGTGTTCAAAACATCATGTTTTTCTTCAGACTGTAATTTGAAAATGTCAGTGATACTGGTACCAATGATATTAACTGGTGATATTGGTTAATGATATGATATAATCGTATTTAATAGCAACCATGTACAAGGTGGGAAAACTACTGAAGTACACATAGAAGAAGGAGGGCCATTGTATGAAAAATTTAAAATATTGAACTTTTACCATACTTGAAATTCAACACTTACAAGCATAAAAAGGCAAAATATATCTTATTCTAGATATATCTTTGATACTTCTGGACAGACATATTGGAAGCTTGCCTTTTCACAATTAAAAAACAGACACAACATGAGAAAGATTTTCTAAAGTTTGCATATTCCAGTCATTATCAGACATGGGCATGGATTCACATAGTTATTTTGTGAAATGTGTCTAAAAACTACCTTATGGTTATTATCTTAAAGTGTCTGTTGCACTGATTTTTGTATTTAGAGTCTTGATATATCCAGTTAGGGATCAGGAACAAAACTGAACAGTTAAATTGAAAAATCAAGAACATATCAACAATCAAAATGTTTTTAAATTACAGAGATTAAAATCAAATTACAATAACAATTACTGTAAAATTCTGCTCTGTTATGCTTAGGAATGTCTATTAGTCTACAAAAACAGAGTAAAAAAAAAGTTTCTAATTCTGTGACATGCAGTTTCTCAGAGATGGCATATTCTGCCCTCTGTAAGTCTTCATGACTTCATTGCACTGGTTTCTTGTAGTTTTTGAGCTACAAGCAGTTCTTGGGCAAGATTTAGTCCTTATCTACAGGGATATAGAGAAATGCAACGTTAGAATGACACAATTTTGAATACCAATTGTGAGTTTGACAAGTCCTGGATCTCATTTAGTGCTAGTGTACTTATACTTCTGATCATGGGAAAGCTCTGAAATACTAAATCCCAGTCAGGGGTTAGAAAAGATAGACTGTGTATTGAGAAGAACGACAGCAGCAACAACAAAGTCTGGTTTCCTTAGGGCAGTAGTGAAATAGTCTTTGTCAGAGACAGAAATACTACAGTTGTTCTCTGTATCAGAGGGTTTTT